AAAGAAATCAAGAGTTGGATGGTTAACCAACTGAGCCACCCAGGCACCCCATGAGCCTCCCTCTTGAGGCTCCCACCGAGGCGGTTCGCACTGGAGACAGGCCACAAGGGGGGCCCACATGTGGCCTCTGATTCCCTCCACTCAGGACCTGGAGCCCGTGCGAAGGCACGTTCCCTCGCATTCCTGTGACCCTCCACGGCCTCCTCCGAGAAATGGGATAATTATGGCACTGACCTCACAGAGCTGCTCAGGTAAGTACAAGCTAAGTGCCTGGGACATGCTGCACGGTCCACAGGCCCATTAACGGTCACCTGGTTTTACTAATGTTGACAAATAGGGCGCGGATCCTGACTGGTGGGAAGCGGGATGTAGTAGAAATGCTATGATTTAAGCAGTTTGGGGGGGGGGGTTGCTTCGGCTGGCTCCACTCCCTCGGGGTGCAGAGGTGGGTTTTCCTTCAAGTTCTGTGTGCTCTTCCCCAGCCCGATTCCAGACCTTCCCTCCTCCCGCTGCTTTGGGGACGCCTCTGAACACGGAAGGCACTTTTCCTCATGAGAAAGGAAATCGCCGGTTCTCTATCTGGAACGTTCATGGCAATTGCATCTGAAAAGGTGAGCGAGCCTCAGCTCTGTCAGGGAGGGAATTGAGGTGGAGGGTCACAAGATCACGGCCGTGGGGTCAGGGTCCTTATCTACCTGCCCATCAGCCAGGGTCCAGAAGGCCTCAGTGTGGGGCCACATTTGCAAACTCTTTACAATCTTGCTGGCGGCAAAGCACGGCCCAGTTTGAGATCTCGGTCCAGCTCACTGTCACGTAAACTAAGGGCGAATGGATTGGATTATGTCTTTTCTGAAAGGGCTTCTCAAATCAGAAAGGAGGGGTAGGTTCTGGAGTGGGAAGGACTGCCTTCAGCAGCATTCCTTGCCCTTGGAGGAGTCTGTCCCCTCCCCCAGCTGGAGGACCCGTTTCTTCTCTTGTCTAGCGTCCCGGCAGACTCCAGCCCTCAGCTCGGCTAAGGCACCTCAGCCAGGAGCTCGCGCTTCCTCGGACTGGCCAGGTCCATCCACCTTGACCTTGACACCACCATCGGCAGTGAGTAATGGGATTCTAGCTTTCTCCCACGGAGGCGATTTCTGCTGGGGGCAGTGTGTTCAGAAATGTAATCTTTTCAACACGAAACTGCTGATGGTCCATGAAATAAAACCCTCAATCCAAAGGAGTATCATCAGGTTTCTGGTCCAGAAGAAATGGTCTCAGTATTTGTTTGCTCTGTGGATAGGGCAGGAGCTCAAACTGCTTCACCCCAAGACGTCCTCACGAACCTGCCCACTCACCCCAAACCCAGCAGGTAGGACAGGAACCACCAACATCGGATTGTTTCCAAAAATCATGTGTTGGGCGCAGCCTATGGGCCAGGCACGTTTCGAAGTGCTTTCTACACAACGGTCTCACCTACGGCTCACAGCTCTGCTGGGTAATACCCACTGTATGGAGAAGACTGAGGCCAGAGCACCTGTTATCTCCCAGAACACTCACACGTTCGTCCCATCGGAGGACTGAAGACTCTTCTTTCTCAGCTGGGGAGCACCCCAATGGGGCCAAGAGGGGGCGTGCATGACTGGGGCCCTTTCTTCACTACGCCCTATGGTTCCCTTGAACATTCAAAGGAGCAGGTGAGAATCAGACCAACCACCTTGACTAAAGATGAAATTTCCAACGTGTAGGGTGGTTTGTTTTCCCTTTCCAAGTCTAATTGCTCATCCTGGAGTGACAGGGCCTGGGGCTGGTGCTCAGTGGGTGACGGGAAGGATTCCCGTGATGCTGGCAACCAGGGGTCACGGTGCTTGGTACCCATGACCCGCTAAGGAATGAGGCCAGAGGCAGGCAGCTGTGCGTGTCCCCAGCAACTTGAGTTACAGTCGCGGATGAAAGCGACTAGAAACCATTCACAAAACACGCGGGGGGCCACGGTGGGGGGAGGCGCTCCCTGAGGCAGGTGAGCATCTCCGTCTGGGCCCGTGAACGCCATCTCTGCCCATCTGTCTCCCTGCTCCCACCCAAGAGCACAGCTTACCTGGCCCTAGCTTGGAGATAGCGTATAACAGATCATAATTTATGACAGGAGTAGCGTCTTCCACTTGTTTCCAACCAACGGGCGGCGAGGCAGGAGGAGAGATCAGAAACTGCTTGTCCGGATTCGGGGGGGCCAGGTGGGAACTTCCTATGTGTAACGTCTGCGGAGAGAAAGAAATACAGGCGCGTGGTTTCTGGAGGAAAGAACCCAAGCGAGGCGACAGCGCTCAGTGACAGCTTGTGGAGGACAGGCGCAAAAGGACAGGCCTACGTCTGGGCGGCAGAACGCATGCGGTTCCGGAGGGGGCTCGTGACCCAGTCCGTATGGAGAAGGCAAAGGGGTGACGGCACAAACATGGTTAGAGCGCCCTCCCAGGACTGGGACCCACAGGCACAGGGATTGCCAGGAATCACCACGGACCGAGACTGGTGGAAAAGAGTAGCCTCGTGGTAGAAATGGACAAAATAAAGCACTGTTGCTGACGTCACAGGGATCTCAGCCATTTCTTCTAGCGCCTCGGGTCACAAAGGCAGAACAGAGGCTCCAAGAGGCTAAGCGACAGCTCTAAGATGATACAGCCTCTGGGAGGGCAAAGTGGGGCTGGGGTCCCAGGGCCCCCGCCCACCCGGTGGTACCCCACAATTCCCTTTCTCTGCAGTTCCAAATCAGATGCCAAAAGCAAAGAAGGAAAAAAAGATCCACCTTCCAGGAGATTAAAAAAAAAAAATACTATCTTGAGAATGCGAACTGGTGCAGCCCCTCTGGAAAATAGCATGGAGGTTCTTCAAAAAATTCAAAATAGAACTACCCTACGACCCAGCAATTGCACTACGAGGCATTTATCCAAGGGATATAGGTGTGCTGTTTCGAAGGGACACATGCACCCCCATGTTTATAGCAGCACTATCGACAATAGCCAAAGTATGGAGAGAGTCCAAATGTCATTCATCAACTGATGAATGGATGAAGAAGATGTGGTATGTATGTATGTATATACGTATCGGCAATCAAAAAGAATGAAATCTTGCCATTTGCAACAACGTGGATGGAACTAGAGGGTATTATGCTGAGTGAAATTAAAGACAGACGAGTATCATAAGACTTCATATGTGGAATTTAAGATACAAAAGAGATGAACATAGGGGAGGGGAAGCAAAAAT